AAAAAAAAAAAAAGAGTGGAAATGGAATCAGTGGCCTATGGGTTTAGTTTGGGTTTGTTCTTTGTGCTGTGTGCTTTCTAAGTATCAGAAATCTTTTCCTACTTTGAATTGTATTTCCCTCTCCAAGTTTGTTACAGTTTTGCTTTTCACATTTGAGTAAGTAATCTCTTTGGCATTTACTCTTATGTCTAATGAGGATTTTTTTAAAAAATCAATCCGTTTTACTGACTTTCTTAACTGTCTTCTGATCCACTGGCCTGCTTGTCTATCCCTCTGCCAATTCTTTGTTATTTTCTTTAACTTGTAAACAGAACAAAGTTCGTAATGCCTTGATGGTTTCTGAAATGTCTTGATTGGCCTTGGTGTTTATACTGCTGTATGCAGTGCTTAAGAGCTAAGCTCTAAGTGAAAAGTTGGCAGTGTAAACTCACCAGCCACTCTTGGAGAAAGGTGTGCCCACCTACCTCCATAAAGATGACAGCCGTACAGTCCTGAGGGGGGAATTGTGTTCCTTCCATTTGATATAAGTCAGAAATGACTGAGTGACACACTGCAGCACAGAACACATCCAATATGTCCTTTAAAAAGAATGCAAATTTTATGTCTTTCTGGTTTATATACATACTTTTTTACTTCTGCTTGATTGCACTGATCAGGACCACAAGGCCATAAATACAGCAGTCAGCAAACTTTTTCTGAATAGGACCAGGTAGGCAGAAAGTAAGTAATTTCTGTATAAATATGTGGACTGTTTGTTGTTGTACTTCGAGAGGTGACAGTAGTCTTGTAGATAAGCCTGCAGCAGTTTGTACTGATTAGTGCTTTATGTGTTGTTCTGCTCATCACATGGGTCAGCTGTTTGAATCTGTCAGCTGCTCTACAGGTGAAAGATGCACAGTGTCCTCCCATAAAGATTTACAGCTTGGGACTGCAGATAAGAGTCTGCTGAGTTGGAATTGACTCAGAAGCATTGGGTTGGAAGAAATGACATGGGGAGGGAAGCAATGGGTTTGGCTTTGGTTAAGTTTTTATGGGGAAGTTGGCAAAGGGAAGACAGATTTGTAAGCATGAAATAATTGGGTTTTATAGTATTTGCCAAGTAAATTTGTGCTTACCTATACAGTTTAAGTCTTTTTAATGTATCTGAAATCTAAAATTAGTAATTGACACTCTCTTTAAATCCCTTTAGGAAAAATAGAAATGAAGGTACATATGCACACAAAATTTTGCCTCATTTGTTTGCTGACATTTATTTTCCATCATTGCAACCATTGCCATGAAGACCATGACCATGACCATGGCCCTGAAGAACACCACAGACACCACTGTGGAATGACAGAGTCAGAGCCGAGCAAATTTTCAGTGCTGGATGCTGAAAACCAAAAAAAATGCTATATTGAAAAACTGTTTTACCGTTATGGTGAAAATGGAAGGTTGTCCTTTTTCGGTCTGGAGAAACTTTTAACAAACTTGGGCCTTGGAGAGATAAAAGTAGTTGAGATCAATCATGAGGATCTTGGCCACGATCATGTTTCTCACTTAGATATTTTGGCAGTTCAAGAGGGAAAGCATTTTCACTCACATAGTCACCAGCATCCCCATAATCATTTAAATTCAGAAAACCAAACTGTGACTGGGATAGCAACAAAAAGAAACCATAAATGTGACCCTGAGAAAGAGACAGTTGAAGTGTCTGTGAAATCTGATGCAAAGCACGGCCATGAGCACAATCGTCGCTTCCATCACCACCATCGTTCACACCATCGCCTTGATCACAACACTACTCGCCATTTACATAATGATTCTATTCCTCACGGCGAGCGCGGGGAGCCTAGCCATGAACCTTCAACAGAAACCAACACAACACAGGAGCAGCGTGAAATTAAGCCACAGAAACAAAAGAAGAGAAGAAAAGGGAAGAAAAATGACAACTCAGAGGTTATTACACCAGGCTTTCCCCCTAACCATGATCAGGGAGAACAGTATGAGCATAACCGGGTCCATAAACCTGATCGTGCACATAACCCGAGTCATTCTAATGCCCACCTGCCAGAACATAATGGTCACGAGCCTGCTCATGGACACCAGGATCTTGATTCTGATAATGAAGGTGAACTTCGACATACTAGAAAGCGAGAAGCGCCGCATGTTAAAAAAAGTGCAATTTATTCAGCTGCCAGTCACAAAGATCATAATGAAGATGACCATCAGCACGATGAGGTACGTGGAAAAAATGTCTGATGGCAATTGTGAACTATTTTAGGTCAAGAGATAAGGTAGGAGAATAGTTATTTACTATGTAAAAATACATTAAGGAACCGAAATCAGGTTAAAGATTCTATCTTGAGTTTTTGCTTATCTGGATTTCCTTATTATGGTCTTAAATATAGGTTCCTCACTTTTGAATGATTAAAGGTTGTTAGAAAATAGATTTCTTCTTTTAATTTTGTTTTTAATAAATCTTGCTTACTACCTGCTTGATTTAACAGGTTACTTTTCACTGTTAAAACCTTTAGCTAGCTTGTAGAAAACTGAAAATTGACAGACCATTCCTCCCACCGCAGTCTCTTTTTTTTTAGAAATGACCAGAGCTGTTTTCATAGTTTATAATTTATTGAGTGATTTTCAGTCATTATATTAACTCTAATTCCATGTTTTGCCAATTTGGTCACCTTGTTTATGTTCTGGCACTTTCTGGGCCTAGTTTGCCCGTAATATTGTGTGATTTTTTTTTTTTATGCAACTATTCTGAACCTTCTGTGCTTGTTTGGCGACTATTCCATAGCTCCTTGGAGGTATTTAGGTATTTAGGTATTTTTGTAAGTATTGCTGTTATATTATAGGGGTTTTTTGATGTAGGGTTTTTTTTGGGGGGGGTTGTTTTTTGCCTATTATTTTTGTACCTTGCTATTGGGGGGAAAAAACCATGCCAAATTTGTTGTTGTTTAGGGAGTTGCACTGTCAATCCAAAGGCCTAGCACATTTATGGAAATACCTCCTATGGGGGAGGGAGCAATTAGCAAACCGATGGTCTGTATTACTTGCATGAAAATATGGATAGTCTTTTCCCATACCTTTATCAGATTCAGAAGGATGGTAAATGATAGGAAACTTGATAGAAGAAAGATATTCCTGTTTTCTTTCTAAATTTTAACATTCTTTCTTTTTCATAATTTTTAATCGCTTGCTTTAACCTTATTTTTGTTTTCGTTAAAGTTATAGCAGTGCTCTTGTTTATTCTATTTTTTAAAATTAAGGTTTAGAAAAATTTTTTGTATTAAAATGTAGAAAGGACCATAGGAAAAGTGTAGTGGGCAGACTTCTCTTCAAGAACAAGTGTGGAAAATGATCCTGTTATTATTACTTGAGATGTTTTACTTGTAAGTAAATATCCTTATATTTCTTTCTCAGATAAATCAGATAAATACTTGGTTTTTAGGAGTTTGAAACATAAATATTAATGTAGATATTAAAATCATAGTGTACTTTTTTTGTGGTGATGATAGGAGCTGTTGAGTTGGAATAAACTCATAGCCGATCCTCCATGGAGCAGATGGTGGATTTGAACTGCTTGCTTTTGGGATTGTAAGACACCTTCTTAACTGCTAGACCACCAGTGCTCCTTTGTACTTTTTTAAGACTGAAATTTATTTATTACGATGGGTATGTTTGGGAATTTTTTTGTTGATAATATTGGATCTTATCATGTGTGCTTAGTCTTTGTAGCAAACATATAGGATCGACATTATAAGACCTATTTATCTGTGTCCTCACAGGTCTAACACATTCTAGGAATTGGCAAGATTTCTGGAAATGTTCTGGGAATTAAATAGGGTAGTACCTACCAATCATCTCTTTTTTTTGCTTGATTAGTTATTTTGGTGTCAGTAAAATCATGCCTTGAGAAAGTCAAGTCAAAAAGTATATTTAAATACAACAGCTGTATGTGACAAAGATGCCGCCTCTACCTTGGTTTAGATCTCTTAACTGTATTATAGAACACGGGCTTGTTTCTTCTTTTCCCTATTTTATTTTATTTTGGAAGTTCAGATGGATTAAGCTGCGGTTTTTACCTTTTCCAGCAGTATCTGTTTTAACTAACATTGTGCTAGAATTTCCATAGACAGTGGAAATGCCTGCGTGCTGACTTACTTTAATATGAAAGTCATTAAAATACTCTAGCTCTCTTTAACTACTTCACAAATCTCAGTGCATTGATCATTGTAATCTCAATAGGGAGTGAATTGTCTTCTCTGTAAAAATCTTCGGTAATATAGTTGTGAAACTTTTGTGGGAATGTCAGAAAGTCCTTATATTATTTCTTATGCACTGGAATGATAAAAATGGTAAAAACTCCACAAACTAGTTGAAGATACCCCATCATAAATTTCTGTCTAAAATTTTATTTTTAGCGAAAACTCAGTGCCTTTTATTTTTAGTTAATTCTGACTCTTGGTGACCCTCTATTTGGTTTCCAAGGCTATAATTCTACCAGAGTAGACTACTTTCTTTCTTAAAACAGTGAATGGATTTGCACTACTGACCTTTTGGTTAGCAGCATTTGTGACTCACTAAAATATTCCTTACTGTTATTACAGATTATTTTCTAATAACTTAGACTATTTCCTACTGTGCAGTATTTTATTTTTGTACATATTCTTAAAGATACTGTTTTGTTAATTTCTTTGCAGTGTTTGAACGTCACTCAGTTGTTGAAATACTATGGTCATGATGCCAGCTCTCCTATCTCACCTGACCTATTTACATGCCTTTGCCCTGCATTGTTATATCAGATTGACAGCAGACTTTGTATTGAGCATTTTGATAAACTTTTAGTTGAAGATTTAAGCAAAGATAAAAGTCTAGTTCCTGAAGATAAGTCAAATGTAGGTGCATCAGGTAAGTAAGAGATTTGATTTCTCCCTTCCTCCAAATATCCTTTTAGTACTTACCTTCAAAAGTAAATTCAAGCTTCCATATTTGTGTCTCAAACTTACATTTTACTTTTATGATTTTTCCGCATATAT